AAAAAAAAAAAAATGTATGCCTCTGCTTACTTGATATTGTTCCCCTTGCTTGTTGCAGAAACTAAAGGATGTCCTGGAGTTTTTAAGTGTCCCACAGTTGGAATTGACAAGCCGGCAGATTAAGATACACAAGGGTCCATTGGCTGAACATGTTAAGAATTGGGATGAAGTATTCAAGACACTCAATGGGACAGAATACGAGCAATTCCTCTGCATGGACTACAAGGTCTAGCACCTGCTACTAATCTGAGGAATGGCATGAATGCCAAACCATACTAACCAAGTTTTATTGCTGATGCTGACGAAGGATATGCAACCATACAAACTGGACACTCACTGGGCTTTAAGATTTTAGCTGTCACTAGACTGTGACATCTCATTGTTCTAGTAAGTTGGTTATCAACATTTAGCAAAACAAGTAGTTGGTTATCAACACCCCGTTGATCCCATCATTTCTTTCCCTTTGAATTTCTTTTGATTTATAGATAGCTTATATACATTGCCTAATGAAATGAAATTTTAAAGTAGAGCAATTGTTCATACAGAGATATATTGTTTTTAGTTATTACCTTTATCTATCACTTATGATATTCTAAAAAGCAAATAGAATGGGTTAAGGATGATATTATTAGCCCCTGACTCTCAATCATTGTTATCTGTAATACAGATATATGTCGAATAGCAGCTTGCCATGTCTTTCTGCTTGGCTTTAAACGGACTCGAACTCATTTTCCTTGGTGCATTATATTCATTATATTTGTTTACATACAATTAATAAGAGTTGAATATTGATTTATATTGTAATTGGTTTATTTATTAGAGAAAGTTGTTTTTTAGCATGGATTGTGCAATCTTAGTTTAAATTTACCAAAATGCCATTAATGAATAAACATAGAGTGCAGTTTCATTAAGAGTATTATAGTAATTTTAATATTAGGACTACACCAAAAAAAGAAAAAGAAAAAGGTAATCTGTATTGAAAAACATTTTTATGTATTTATTAATCCTTATCCCTTCGGTGCAGTCTTTTCCAGGATTAAGGTACGTACTTCATTGTTTTGAATCGAAACTCAAGGATGATCTTGCATTTTCAGTGAAAGCTAAGGAACCAAACCCTTTTATTGTTCAACGGCCAAAAAAAAACAGGATTAACGCTCTGTTTTTTGTTTCAAACTGTTCTTCATTCTCATTAACCAAATATATTCTCTAGGAAGTTTTTCTACGTAATCTCTAATAATTACAAAATGAAAGGCTAAACTGGAGAAAGGCTCTTAATCAGCCAAAATAATGAAAATTTCATATTCTTAAGTCTAAACTGGTTGACAACGGAGAAGAATTTAATTTTTCCTTTTCAAATTAGGTTTTCTCGGTTGGTAAGCAGTTTGCAATGTAATAAAAAGTAGGTCTCCTGCGAGTTAAGTGCGTTGTTGTAATATATGCATGTGTCAAATGCCAATAGGGAAGCAGTTACTAGTTTTAAGCAAGTTTGTTTACGTTTATGTTATGTACATTAAATAATTTATCAATGTGATCAAATCATCAAAAATCTTGCAAGTTTCGTTTTAATTGATAAATGTGGGATACTTTGTAAAGCAACACATTTCTTCTCATGAACATGAACATTATATATATATATATATATGAAAGTTTCAACATGAATGTTAAATCCTATCATGCAAACAATAGTATACGAACTTTTTTTTTTTTTTGAAAGGTAAAAAAACACATATTAATTAAAAATATGGAGTATAAGGATTACTTTTGCCACGTATAATAAACTATTATTTACACAAAAATAGTATACAAACTTTTAATAATAATAATCTGGATGTAAGAATAAATAAAACAGGATTAATGGGAGTTAACCTCAAATTTTTAACTCATAATAAAGAAAAAGGCACCACAAATGAATTAAGGCCTAACAAAAGGTCCCTACTTGATGAGTTCTTTTATGCTCCACACACCTTCATTTTAAACATGTTTGTCAGTAAACTTTTTCAGCAGAACGTAAACCTTTGGTTAAGTTACTGATCAGCTTTTAGACAAACTTAAAATATGTTTTTTTTTTTCTGATAATCAATAAAATAAAAAGCTCAATTGTGGTAATTAAGCTCGAACCGAACCTTGCACAAGAGATGAACTAACAAAAATTCGACTCAATTTGTATCCTTTACAAGACCAGAAATATATATTAATACCAAAAGCGGGAAAGGACATTGCCTAATTAAACATGCCTTCTATTAAAGTTTAAGCCTTTCTAGTGTAGGATGAATGCATGCACTTCGCTCCCTTGAATTAGAAGAATATGTATTTCTTCATTTCTACGTAATCTTTTGAAAAAGTACATAGTTAAATAGCAAATGTTAAATTAAAAATACTCTCGAATACAAAAGAATAGACAGGATAAAAAATAAAGAGAGCATGTTTTATTTCAAAAAAGTATTATTCAGGTTGATTTCAAAGAAAAACTACAAAAATATTTTTAAAATTATTTAAATATTTTTAAAGAATAATTTTCACCAACATTCTTTCACTGTCATGCTTTCTCTTTTATTTTTACAATCAATATTCAACTGTTTAACCTTAAAAGCATTTTCCTCAAATGTGAAGGGCACTTCAATTTTGTTAAGTGGAAAAATCTCAAATTGAATGTAAAAGTGAGAAACTTGTAAATTAAATATAAGGAAAACTACTTCATTTATTGTTAATTAGTTTTAAGTTAGATGCAAATTTTATGTTGAGCCCACGTGCAGAAGTTTCAATTGGTATGGGGGTCTAAATTCTGTTCTAAGAAGTCTATTGTGTCCATTATTAACCCACCTAATAGAACCCAAACTAATTGGTTTTAAGTAGGGTGCAAATTTTATGTTAAACTCACCTGCACAATTTTCACAGAATTCAAATGAGTACCAAAAAGTAGTGGCTTACCTACTTAATCTTGTGGAGATCGTGAGGACTAGGTGCTGCCACAGAGATTAGAGTGCGGTTTTTGCCTCTTTCCTGTCTGGTGCATACTTTTTTCTCTACGAACTGGGATCAGTATGTTTTCTTTTTCCTTTTTCCTCTTTTTTTTTTTAATGAATACTAGTTTTGGTGGTGGTAATCTTTTGTTGTTAACTGCTTTTCAAAAAAAAAAAATCTTTTGCTTTTAACTCTCTTTGAGTAGTTCTGAATAGAATGTGGACGTGAATGCATCTCTCTAGATTGTATGTGGGTGTGTTTGATGTTTTTTTGTTTGAACTTTAATTTGAAGCTTTCGAGCTTTCCTTGGATGCTTTGGGAAACTTACCAATTTAATATAATGAACATAGAATATGGCTACCATATTGTTTAAAAGCACTGACAGCCGCAAATATTATCAGTGAAGATCCCATGGCCATATGCTAGATTCCTTGGAAAATATTAATAACATTATCATCTTTTCCTGAATTCTGTTCTAT